ATCATCCTCATCTAAGTGGTATTATATTGTTCGAAGTGTTAAATCCTTCATATTCTTTGGAAGGTTATTCTCAAGTTCGTCAAGTACCACATAAGTTATTTCATAGGTCATCAAAGACCCGATAAATTCTTCAAGTAAAAATTTATTTAAATCCTTTGTCTTTTATATTGTAGTTACTTTCGAATCCTAATTTTTAGAAAGAGATCATAAAACTTTATTAACAAGTTCAAGAGTCGAAAAATTTTTACCAAGTGCTTTTAAACCATTGATGATATCCGTAAACGGGTGTACATGTCTCCAATGGTTTCACTTGGTTTCATATGAAATACTTTAAAATAACGTATTAAAAGATTAACTTTAGAATCTTTAACTCTACTTGTATCTTCGTGTATGATTTTAAAAGTGTGTCAAATATCAAAAGTCGTTTCGCAAGTAAAAACCCAATTGAATTTATTTTTATTTAAGGCGCAAAATATAATATTCATAGCTCTAGCATTTAAAGAAATTTTTTTTTTCTAAATCATTCTATTCGTTCATTGGAGTAGAAGACTTTTGAAAATCGCTTTCGATAGTATTCCATAAATTCAAATCCAAAGAAAGCAAGAAAACTTTTATTCGAGTTTTCCAATATGTGTAGTCCGTCCCAATGAATATATGAGGACAAATGATAGAAAAATCTTAAAAGCAAAAAAGAAAAGCCCTCTTAAAAGTCAAAAAGAGTCATTTCTCTTTGGTATTAAACCAAACGAGAAATAATGTGGCTCTGATACCAACTATTAGGAACGAGTCGACACTAAGAGAGGGAGAGTGAATTAGTGCAGCGGTAAAAACTACGTCGTTAAAAAATCTTTCATTTCGATTAAACCTATTTCAGAAAGATATTAAATTAAAAGCATTAGGGATCATGGTGAAAGCAATAAGAATGTAAGGTAATTTGCAGTAAAGGTAAATTACTCAAAAGTAAATGCAAATCAATTTTATAGTGGTTCGGTCATCGTGACTTACATCCATTCTCGATTCCTTTTCACTTGAGGCTACCGGCTTCCACTACTTGTCTTCCTTTAATGGGCGAAGACTAACTATCCTTTTACACCCCTATTCTCCTTTTTTACAGAGACAACATATTATAAGTACTCACTCCTCTCTAAACAGAATTCTAAACTTAGAATTTAGAGGAGGGGATCTCTCAAGTGATTACTATAGTATTTTTTCACTTTTAAATTCTTTATGCTTATATATGTTAACCATAGATGAGAGGGGTATTTATAAGCTTCAAGTGGATTCAAACTTAGAGCCTAAAAATGTATCATCCCTGGTTTTTGGGGTACTGGCGGTACCATCGTTTGACAGTCTCTCAAAGACTGTGCCATGACGGTGCCACCTATTAGGATACTGTTTAGGCCTTTCACTTAGCCCAACACAACCTAAAATTAGGCCCAATTAACCCTAATTGAGTTGGCTCAATTCCAATATAATTATGTGCTAACTACGAATTTTAAGACATACACTAAGCTAAATAACTCCGTAAGTCTAGGTTTCTTCCGACGAGCTTCCAACGATCTTCCGATGATCTTTCGGCAAACTTCTAACGATCTCTTGGTAATGTTCCAACAGACTTCCGGTAAGCTCCTAGACTTCACGACGATCTTCTTAGTGAGTTCCGATGAGCTTCTTTGGCAGTTCCTAGACTTCTCAGTCAATTCTAACAGAACTTCCAACGAACGTCTGGACTTCCGATGAACTCTCGAACTCCCAACAAAATCTCTTTCGGACTCTAAGAACTTTATTTTGCTTTATGCCTTGATCGCTATCATAGTTAATCATGTATACTTAAACCGACTTCGATGTAGATAATTATTATAAAGCTTGAATTAAATGTTGTCCAACATGTCATTGGTTCATTGATATTTTGTCTGATTCTTCGATGCATCATCCTTTCTTGTGGCATATTGCCCAATTGGTCAGTTGACCTTCGCAACTCTGATTTTCTTAGTGTAATTTTCGCTTTTATTGGCTCAATGCCCGAATTCATAGCCCAAAGACTTCTATCGATATATCAATCGATCCTCTGGCTCTATGTTCAATCTTCTGACATGTTTCTCTCCGACCCAATATGATTCTTCCTGCTTTAATTGTCTCTACCTGATCAAAGCTTCCTACATCACTCAAAATATAGATTAAATTATAAACATTATTAATTGGTTTCATCATCAAAATATGAGATTTAATAAATTTCACATCATTGTCTCTCTTATATTAATGATAATCGATAGATATGCTTCTTTATATTTTTCATAAACCCAAACTATACACCAAAATTCTCATGAATTTTTTTTTTTTGTTAAATCTACATCCTACATTCACCTTTATGCTTCTATATTTGAATAGTCTTTTAATTTACATAGATAATAATTTTAAAATTATATATTACTTTTATAGAGCCTCTTCCCTATAAAAAATTTATCTGATACTAAGTCTATCTAGATGCCAATTATATATATATATATATATATATATATATATACTGATTGTTCTTGGATAAGTCCTAAGAAACACTTGAGCTATTCACATCATCATAACATAAGCTCCTTCCCTTTTAAGGTCTATGATTCCCATAGGGCAAAAAAGAACAAGTGCAATGAGACAAAGGAGCCACTGCGGGGGAGAGGCACAGGTTGGAAGAATGGTGACTGCCATGACCTTTCGTCCTCTGACTTGAGAAGGACAATCATAGCTGGGCTAGAAACTCAACATCAAGTAGTTATGCATTAGCAAGTTGATTAAGAGTCTTTTAAAATGATTTAGATAGTGGAGAAGAAGGAAGGAAGCATGAAATCAATAGTTTTTTATTAATGATGAGTTATTCATGCTATAATTTTGATCAATATAGTATAATATGACCTATTTATCTTCAAAACATCTTAAATTTAAATATACGACACCCCAATTTAATATAAGAGAATTCACTTGAATTATAAGATCACAAGAGTCATACAATTAAGCATTTTAACATTTCATCACGTCAGATAATAACAAATGGTATAGAGTCAATTATTGCATCGGATCGTATTATAATAAATAATATTGAAATAAACCTAATCTTAGAATATGACATATTATTGTGTCAACAAAGAATATGACATATGAATGTGAAAGAAAAAAATAAAATTAAATGAGCCTATTATCATTAATTTAGATTTAAAATTTTCAGTTCAGAAACATATTAACTATCAATTATTATGATCACAAAATATATAAAATTATAATGTTTTCTCCTCAAGGGACCAGACAAGTTGATCCCTTGCTTGAATCATAAGGAGACACTAACACCACCTTTCTCTTTTTCCATGCTAAGACACTTTGTGATGCATGACTGACCTTCCTAAAAGTGCTTGCTTGATGATTGATGATACAAGAAACCAATGGGATTTGAAGTCCTCACATGATCATGTTGTTGTTTTACTGCATCATGGAATTAGGTGCATTGTGTCTGTCAACCTGCAAGCCAATGTGTGGCCATCCACCACAAAATGATGAGGGCCTTGACACCATGTGATCAACCAGAATGGACATGTGAGGTGCTGCTTGCCTCTGAATCATGCTAAGTTCATGCATGGATCGCAACTGATGTGTGCACCGAAGTATGGAGATTATTATTTACAGCAGAAGATACCGATCTCATATTTTTAATCTGATTGATTATATGCATACAATTTCACTACACATTTGATGCATTAAATATTTTTTTAATGATCTGAAATTTGGTCACTAGTGATGTATACCATAAAATATTCATTAATCTCATACTAATGTTAATAATTTAAAGAAGATATTTAATTTTTTAATAGGTGAACAAATTTTTTTTTGAAGATTTAATAGTAATCACTTTCTATTCTTTTTTATAATCTATCATCTTTATTTAATCACTTAGTTTTTCTGCTCCTCAACTAATAAGTGTTACGAAGAATTTTTCATTTCAGTTGAGCCCATACAATTTTATTGTTTTGAGCCAAAGGAATAAAACCGTGTGGGTTCATCCAAAATTAATAATTTTTCATGAATTATCGTGTCAATATTGATAACGATAAATGATAACTTGTTAACTAATATCCCTTAATTCATATTGAGTTATATTTGAGTTTACCGAGTTTATATATATATATATATATATATATAATATTTGGACAAGGCCTTGTCGCTTCACCCATTTATGGGCGAATAGGGCCCTCCGATGAGACTCGTGGGTAAGGGAGCCCAAACCGATCGATCTCAGGCGGGCACAGATCCCCAGATCTCGACCAAACCTCTTGGTATCATATCAGGGCTGTGTCTTGGGGCTTTCGTGTTCTTGTTTGCAGCTGAATGCATCATCTTGGTGAACATGAGCAGCGGAGCCTGTTTGATCCGAACGTACAAGGTTTCTTTACGATCCCAATCGCAAATGATCTTTTCATCATCGTCGTCGGAGTTCACCGGGAATGATTTGTTTGCTTCATCCCGCGTCGTCGTCCAGGTGTTCGTGAAAAGGTCAGTTCGTTTTCGGCATGTAATTGTAGTTCTCTTGATCTGCATAAACTATATATACACGTGTGTGCATTGATAGAGTTGAAACCTCGATCAAAGTTATCAATCTTATATAGTTAAAAGAGAAGTGTTTGTGGGACACATGACTTTATCTTTTATATAGTTTTGATGCCTTTGGTTTTGAAGAAAGTGTACCATCTTATTCATTTACTAGTGAACTAATGAAGGAAAGGCCTGACAGAATCCGACACTCTCCCCCGACAACAAGTAAAGCTGAAACCGAGGAGGAGGCGGCGTGTGTCGGTTGATGGGAATAAAAATCGCAACTCTCTCTCTCTCTCNCTCTCTCTCTCTCTCT